TCTGGGTGCTGAGTGATCCCTCAGGGCCACAAGGAGTCATTTAACACTCTGTGATGTACGCTTCCTTGACTCCATTCGCGACACAGAGGTGATTTGTGTGGTGGAAATCACAGCAGGTGTGATGCCGGCTTTGAGGGAATGATGTGGACTTCCTGATTCATCATTTCCCCTGGAGCTTTGTCACTGGTGGTTCTGCGCAGCCCACTGTTGGACACAATGATTGCAAACAACCAAAAGATTTCAAAGTTTTCTTTGGTATTAAAAACGATATACGAAATGTAACTGCTCGTCATATGATGATTCAAGTTCAATCTCAGTGCAAAAGAAGGCCTTTGGCACACTTATGTAAATGAATTGTACCCAACTAAGAAATGTTTGATATGTTAAAACAACCTTAAAGCTACTCACACACACAAACTCAAGTTCAACTTCAGGTGAAATTCGAATGGTCAAAGACTATGAGCCCTACCTTGATAGATTGATACCATGCTCTTGGCGCAAGAATGAGTGTAACTTCTTTTTCGTGTCAGCGCAAGTCTGGTCGACCATGTTTGGGAGTGTGTTGCGCCTCTCTTTGCGTTCTAGTGCACGGAGTTGCCTCGCCCCTGACTCATCACACAATTTGGTCACAGGGAGTAGTCTTAACTCAGCATAAAAACAGTCGCATTGTCATTTTTCAGGCCAGGGCAGTGGTTTAGTTAAATATGTTTGTGAATTTGGTAGACACACTACACCTCACTGGGCGTTTCTGCCTCGCCCCCCAATGCATCTGCAAATTTGGTTACAAAAAGTAGACTAGATTTTCGACTTGCAAAAACAGGTCTAACTGCGCACAGGTAATGCTTTTTTGGTGCAAATGATCGAAGCGCAGGAATACAAATTCATCATCCCGCGGGCATGTATGATGGGCGTCATCGTACTTCATTCATAAATATGCCACCAGCGTGGGCCAGTCCCTCTGAATCACTGTAGAAATCAATTTATTCAGTGAATTATAATCTCCCCTCCGTGAGCCGTCACCTTACCGTGGTGGAGGGGTTTGTGTGTCCCAATGATCCTAGGAGCTAAGTTGTCCGGGGCTTTATGCCCCTGGCAGGGTCACCCATGGCAAACAGGTTCTAGGTGAGGGACCAGACAAAGCACGGCTCAAAGACCCCTTATGACGAGTAAAATTAATGGATCGAAGTTTCCCTTGCCTGGACGCGGGTCACCGGATCCCCCCTCTGGAGCCAGGCCTGGAGGCGGGGCTCGGTTTTTGGCCCCTGGCAGGGTCACCCATGGCAAACAGGTGCTAGGTGAGGGACCAGACAAAGCACGGCTCAAAGACCCCTTATGACGAGTAAAATTAATGGATCGAAGTTTCCCTTGCCTGGACGCGGGTCACCGGATCCCCCCTCTGGAGCCAGGCCTGGAGGCGGGGCTCGTTGGCGAGCGCCTGGTGGCCGGGCCTACACCCATGGGGCCCGGCCGGGCTCAGCCCGAAGAGGCAACGTGGGTCCCCCTTCTCAT